GCTATATCGTAGCTGGCCCTGCCAGTACTGGCGATAGACTCATAGGTAAAAAGCGCCATTGATTCTCTCCCTGAATATAAAGTACATCTAAACATATGGTTTACAAGAATGCATTCTACTAGCTGATACGAGCTCGTGTATATATACATGTAGGTGGTATGGGGTGGTGGTTGGGGAGACATGCAAGCTCGCTGTGTCACACGGCGAGCGCGCCTCGACGCGCGACCGGCGCGACGCCGCGAAACCCTCCGGGCGTTGCCGAGTCGCGCTCCCGCTCTACCGCGCCTTCTCGCTTCCCGCCATCGACGAACTTTCCCTCATCAAACCAAGATTCTGCCCATCAAAACAAGTTTTCGCCCGTCAAAGTCAATATTTGGCGGTTCGAACCGAGATTCGCACTTGTTCACGATCCCGATAGTTTTGTCCGCGGGGACCCTTCATAGCGGGGACCTTTCATAGAGGGAGGCGGGACGAAACTTTTGGATGCCGTCTTCAGTCGAAAGATGGAACAAGGTCAGGTGCTGTGGTAGGGATAATCCTTCCTGCCATGAATTGCCAATGCGCGCAGCGTGCCGTTGATTGCTTGTGACGAGTTCGGATCGCGTTGAGATCGCGTCTGCGCATGTCGCTCGACACACGCGGAAGCGCCTGATACACTGCCCCGATCGCGGTACAAGATACACGGATTTGGCCGGTCGTACAGCGACGGAGTGGAGCGAGTTCATATCGGGCCACTGCTCGATCGGCTTACGTCCGAGGGGGGTGAACCCCAATTCAGCAGCTCTCCTCTTCACAAAGGCGACAGGATTTGGCCTGCTCAATAGCCGCTTCGTCGGCATCTGCAAAGGTGAGAAGGAAGCCGTCGTCAATGCACAAGGTCAAGCTTACCGAACTTGAAGGGGCACTGGCCTGGCGGAAATAACTGATTGGGGCGAGCGCGCTTCGCGAAGTGTTCATGTAGGGCGCAGGTAGCATCGGGGGTCGTCTCTGCCTTTGGTGACATGGGGCGATCTTGTTTTTCGACAGAGCTTCCTCTAAAGACCTGATCGGTATACGATACTGTGGTTAAAGATTAGAGAGAGCGCCGGGGCATTGAACCACGTTCGCCTTCGCCGCGACCTGTAAGCGCCACGTCCCACGCCTTCCGTAGACGCGGGATGTGCTTTCGTCAGCTCCTTACCAGCAGTCAGGAATGTCGGAAAGTCATGTCGCCGCAACGTGCGAGCTCCGGCTCCGGTCTCGAGTGCAAGTAAACCGTCTGCCGCAGATAGATCAAGGCGAAGGACGCGTTCTTCGCCCTAGCGCGTGCGCTCAGTAATATCGACCTTAGAGGAGCCTAGGAAAGATATCCGCGAGGCCGTATACGCGGTGACGCTCGCGGTTGAAATTACGTGTTATGTCAGATCGTAATGACAGGTACAACGTCTCGTAGACGACGTAAAGGATAACGGCGTCTGCAAGGGTACGCGTGATCTACGCGCGTCCCTCGGAAAATGAGCTGAGGACTGGAGGGATGACATTGAGGGGGCTTGAATGCTGGGCTAAAAGCTAAATCCCCGTACGCGTATTGCTTGGATCCTGGTACGTGTAGAAAATACAACGAGCGAGTCACGAAGGAGCAGAACGGAGGAGATGAAGGGCCTATACGTACAGTGGATGGTCGATCGCGGGGTCAACAAGCCCCGAGGTAGGAGGACGTCCGCGGTAAACTGCGGTGCAGATACGTCGTCATCTAGGCTTGAAAGGGCGTATCGGTAGCAGAGTTGACGGGCACAAGGGACATTGTGCGTGTTACTTAAGAAAATGGACGCGTGTCAGACGTGCGTTATAGGACACTGCGGGTCGTATCTGCCGTAGTTGAGCGCATCAGATAGGATGGCACGGTGGGCTGGGTCGCCTGAGTTTAGAGAATGGAATCGCCTGCAGCAAGTATACGAGTCATTATGGATCACAGAGTGTAGCATAATATCATGATACAGGTGTCTTGCTCCGGCTTCCCCATTTTACAGCTGGTCGGTGGTCGAGTCTGCGTTGGAGCCGCCGGGAGAGTACAAACGCCGCGGCGATGGTTTCGCCAATATCAAGTGCGGCGGCGTACCGAAGCCCTCTTCCTCGACTCCGGGAAGGTCGAACGCATTTGCTGTTGCATCCGGCCTTTCAAGGTTGTCTGGGCCCGAGGACTCGTTGCCCCGACCGTGCTCTCGTAGATGCGCAGAGGCGTATCGTGTCTCCCGTCGCTTTGAAAAGCTTCCGCGTTGCATCCGCCTGCAGGCACTCAATAGATAATTAGAGACTCGTGAATGGGATTTCCTCGTATTCGCACAGATGTCATAGTCTGGGAAGTAGCGGCAAACCAGTAGCCCATGATCCTGCGTTCTGCATGACCCGGGCGGTCACGGATCGGCAAGAGGATACCGCCAATCTGTACGGTTTATCACGGGATATCAGACCACGTCCTGATAACGCAGGACAACTTGCGGGGCGTCGGAGCGCTCGTTACCGGGCTTTCTAACTCATGAGCGTCGTACTCGAGGTCCTTTCTTTGCGAGATCCGAGTCCGATCGCATTTCGAATTACTCTCCCGATGCCCCGCGGGGAACTCCGCGGAGTTCCGTCCGCGAGCTCGCAACTCTGTCGTGATTCTGTACAGCATCAGGGAACTACCCAGGCGCTTGACTGGTGCTTGGAAAGCCGCCAAGCGCCTGAGCGCCGTCGACCGTTGTCAAGCAGAGTCAAGCACTCGTATGCACGCCCTTACGCGGTCGTCTTAAACCGGCCTCGAGCTCAGGAATCCTCACACCGGCTTCGGGATCATCTGAAAACGCGCGGAACGCGGTTGCGCGCGGCTAATCAGCCCTCTAACTCCTTCCGGAGGCGCATATGGCAGGATGCGGCATCACGTTGGGCGGGAACATACGCACAGCGGTTGCTCGTAGCTTTCCTCATCATGCGGACATTCTCAAATTAGTACGTATTGGAAGTATCTGAACACGCTCGATATTTACCGAAACTCTCCACCACTGGATGACATATTAAGAAAGGTAGATTGCCTCATAGAAAGTCTGGAGGTGCAATCGACCCTAGTCAGTGTACATCACTTCCTTGCCTCTGCTTGAGACGGGAGAACTAGCCGCGGGTGTATACATAGCTTAGGTAACTGCGAGGGGAGAGGTGCGCGGAGAAGAGGACTGAATACGAGGAGACCGTTTGACTGGCGCCGCGTCCGATCTCCCCCTTTGTCGTACCGCAAATTGCTTCCCACGAGGCGCTGCCTTTGACCAGGCCATCAGATGAACGCACAAATAATTGTCTTGTGCGTGGAGAGCGCGCCAAGTGTCCGAGCAGTGTCGAGCATCGTCAGTCGCCACCTATCAAGCGCTTAGCCACCTACATGCGACCTCGCCGCGCTACCTCGCCAAACCCATCCACTGTCTAACTAGTCTTTCGCAAATCCTGACATCACCGGACCACCCACCCACATGCTTGGCTAGTGCTTGAAAGGCACGCCAAGCGCCCGAGCGCCATCCAGCAGCGTCAAGCGGGCCCTCGCGTGGTCTTCTCAAAATGACCTCGAGCTCGGAACTTTTACTCCTGTTTCGGCCTTACCTCAAAACCGGCGGAATACGTTTGAGGAAGCTTCCGGCTGGTCTTCAAGCTTTCTTTGGAGGCGTGTACGCCAGGGATGAGGCGTTATGCTGAGTCGGGGCACACGCGCGGCGGTTGCCGAGTTCCGCCTTGTGGAGGCGAGCTCTAGCAGAGTCGTCGACTTTACTCAACAATCCGGCCAAATTTTGTCACAGAATTTAGTTTGCTGGACTGCTTGCAGTAATCGGCACCGCCAAACAAGAAACACGAAGGGAGGACCGCGGTGAAGGAAACGTCATTCCAGGTCATTTCGGCGAGGCAGCCACTCGCCGTTCGACCCGTCTCTCCTTCTCTTCCTCAACATACTCACTACATAGTGAGTTTTTGTTATGGAATTTCCAACGATGTAGTCCATCCCGAATCCAGATCCGCTGACGAGAATAGTGATCGCCGGCATACCCGTCCCACCATAGAGCACCGTCACGATCCCACCGCCGTCTACGCCGCCCAGAGGGAAGAAGGATATCGTGTGGAGCGGGTCTATACTAAATCAGAGTCCTACGGCAAGAAATCCAGTATGCACTCATGACTCACGCATCTCCATGCAGCGTCTCACCTGCTTAGGCGCCGTTCCACCGCCACTCCCAATCTCCTCGTTGCGTCTACTCCGCTACTCAGACTCCACCCTCTTATCACAGAGTCCGGCAGTCCCATAGCACGTCACATGCTCTATCCTCATGAAGATATCTCAAACATCCTCCCGTAACGTACGTGTAGAAGTTTCCGACGGGAACCTTTCGTAGTGATAGGTTCCACGTCCCGTCATTGTATCCGATACGCCGCGGCCTTACTCGCGACAAGACCAATGCGCGGTAAGGATTAGATCCCTCATCTCTTCAGCGATGCCAAACAAGTGTCGACATGAGCGTCGTGCATGAGGGAGAAAGCCTGCGGATTTAGCGGAGACATGCCGACAACGACCGCGAACCGTCTGAAGACGGTAAGTAGCAAAGAAGTCAGATTCAGAAGTCGCTGAGTCCGTGAGCTCAGAGAAAAAGGGAAGTTGATTAAATACCGCGTCTCCCCTCGTTCCGCAACAGAGAGATAGTGCAGTGCTGGGAGGGAGGCTGGGAAAGAGATGACGGCGGGGGCGAAAGAACTACGGGGAAACAGGGCATCGCCCAACGATTCTCCATGGCGCATGATCGTCGTGGGGATCATGACGCTACGAGTGACTATGCCATAGCCTATTGAGACGGAGGTTTGATATATCGCATCCTGTGGTGGGCGCAAGAATCTAACGGCCCGGTCCCAGGCCCAGCTTTTCCGCCGGGCGGAGGACCCACGGGCGTGACTAAAGCCTATGACCGCCCAGGCATAGAGGGATCCAAGTGGTTTCCGGGACGGCGCCTGCGTTACGTACGGTTGGTTTCCGACGGGTTTCCCGAACAAGGCTGCCGAAGTGTGTGATCGTCGTCACTGGGCTGCTGTACAGCAGGTGGCTGTAGATCGTCTACAGGTGGTGGGATACCAGAGTCACCTGCCATCTTGTGAGGCAGTAGTGGGCGAGGGTGGGTCTGGAAGCTCTCGACAAACTGTACGTGGTATGATGTGATGACCTTGCGAGATTTGGTGTGGTAGCATATGTAGGCCTTCGAGTCGTTTGAATAGCCGATGAGCTTGCATTCCAGTGAGCGGTCGTAGATCTTGGGGTTTGACTTATTTGGGATGAGGACAAATGCTGCGCAGCCAATCTCCCGCAGGTAGGATAGGTCGGGCTTGCGTCCATACCAGGCTTCATATGGTGTCTTCTTGTTCTGGTAGGTGGTAGGACGGCGTTGCGCAATGTGTGCGGCAGTCTCGACAAAGTAGTCCCAGAGGTAGAAGGGGGCATTGCATGCTGCACGCATCGTGCGTGCTAAGGCGAAGATGGTTCGGTGCCGACGCTCGGCAACACCATTATGTGCGGATGTATATGGCGCCGTGAACTCTTGTTGTGTACCCTTCGTTGCCAGCCACTCGCGCATACGGTTACTCTTGAGTTCGCCATTATCGGTCCGGTAGATCCCAACGACTTCGCCTGTCTCTAACTCCCTTTGCTTCTCCCAGCGGCGTAGCTCATCATATGCTTGACCCTTCGATCGCAGGGGAATGGACCAGGTCATATCGGTAAATTCGTCTATAAGTTCCATGGAGTACAGATTGTGACGTGATGACTCTACTGCCTCAGGCCCTGTCAAGTCCACATACACCACACCCAGCCGCCTCGTCGCTCTCGCACCCTCCCGCGTCTTGGGCACCGAAGTGCGTACCTGTTTTCCAAGAATACAAGGTTTGCAAGCAGGAGGTGTGTACGAGAGGTCGACGGGCATACCTGTGACCATATTGCGATCGGCCATGCGCTTGATAGCACTGATACCGATGTGTCCGAGGCGCTTATGCCAGGTCTCAAGACTGACGGCGGCGGCGGCAACAGGTTCGTTGGTAGTGTGGGTCGGGCGGTTGGTGTGTTTGACACTGGACGATATGGCACCGGCGAGAGTGTATAGCCGACGATTGACGCGCGTGCCTGTGGCGATAGTTGCGCCGGATGCAATATGGCGGATGTTGAACGAGTCGCTCGTAAAGTGCGCGTCGTGACCGTCATCGCACATGCGTCCAACCGACATGAGTCGTATGGTGGCTTGCGGGACGTAGAGCGTCTCCTTGAGGATGAGATGGGCTCCGCGCCCGACGCGTATGCGGACTTCGCCTATGCCAAGGGCTTGAATCGTGCTCCCTCCCACGCCACGTACAGTCTTCGGCGGGATGGGGCGTAGCGAGTAAAAGTCCTCGCGGATGGGCGATACGTGCACGGTTGCGCCTGTATCGGCGTGGTAGGCATCACATTCGGATAGCGATAAGGCTGCAAAGCCTTGCTGGGCGGTGGCAGATATGTCGAGCTTAGCAACATCGACATCGGCGGTGCAATGGGTGCGCCAGTCGACACTGGCTACTGCATCGGTTTCGAGGACGGACATGGAGAGCTCCGAGCTGTCTGATATATTGCCGGAGTCGCCGTATTGGTCACATAGCGCATTGAGTTCGTCTGGTGACGTGACAGCTGTGGCGAGGATGGGCGTGTCGTCCGCGACCGTGAGGTAGATACGCTGGCCGGATTCGGTAAGGAAGGCAATCTTGCCCTTCGGTGCAGTTGAAGTCGAAGCTTGTGGAGGCTTTGGGTCGCTAGCGCTAGCGGCCGTGTTAGCGGCAGCGCCCATGCGTTCCAGCCTGCGCTTCGCGCGAGCGGCCTGAACCTCATTGCGGCGACCTTCCATCGCGCCACCAGGCCCCCAGCAGTCTTCCGAGCGATGTGCGCCGTTACATGTCACGCAGCGGCTGCGTCCAGACGCCTTCTTTGTGTCCGCGGTGCGCGCCGCATGTGCTTCTTCGCGTGCAGCCTCTCCCGCGTCCGCCTCTCGCTTCTTCTGGTCCTCCTTCAGACGTACACCCTCCCTCTCGAGGCGTTCGATGATCTCCTTTGGCGAGGCAGGTGTCGCGCTGTTCTCGAAGAACTCGCGGATGCCACCGAGGTCGTCTTGCATGGCGTGCATCATGATCGCGGTCGCGAGCTTGTCGGCTGTAAGGACACCGATTTCGAAGATTTGGTTGCAGAGCGAGCGGATGTGGTTTGCCGTCTTGACCATGGTCGAGTCGCGGTAAATGCGTGTACGGATGAGTTCATCGAGGATCGCGGTCTGGGTGGCGGCCTTCTTGCGGTGGCGGTTCTCGAGGAAGGTCCAGATCTGGCTAGCAGTCTTCACCGTGGAAGAATTGTCTCGGAGTGCGGCAAGTTCGTTGTCGTCGAGACGCATGCGGATGTAGGCACTAGCGAGGCCATCGTTCTCCTCCCATATTGCGGCCTGGTCGGCGTCGCTTGGTTTCGAGACGATGTTCTTGCTGTATATGTAATTGTGTACGCCGGCGATGCGGTACGCGTCCTGCGCGTGCGTGACCCAAGTCGTGTAGTTCTTCCGTGCGAAGTCGAGCTTCTCAAACTCCTGCAGGGTCTTCGACTTGATGGTCTCTAGTGGCTTTGGCGAGGACATCTTGTAAGCTTGTGCCTCAACAGCAATGGCTCATAACCTGTTATAAACTAGGCACAAGGTAAGTATATTACTCAGTACGTGATGGAAGTACTCGGTGCTATCTACCTAGGCACAAGGTAAGTATATTACTGTGAGTCCTATCAGTCTACTGATGTCCCAGATAGATACACCGAAAGCATACCTCAGTACGTGATGGAAGTACTGAGGAAAGGGTCGGTGGCTTGTACGGCCACCTCAAAGGATGCTGCGACTCGCGTGCCCTTCACGCGTCACGCACGCTCGTCGCCACACGTCCGCGCCTAAGGCGCTCCCGCGTTGGACTTCGACA